AGCTTAATTGGTAGAGTAAGAGACAGCAATATACTTTTATGGTAGAAATTTTAGGTAAATGATTCTAAACATAGTTGTCTGTAACTATATAGTTATGAGATACAAATGTATATTGATCTATGTTTGTCTTTTTACGATAAACAACAACAATACCATAATTATAGTTTTTGAAATAGTTGTTTCATATAAAAAAAGTAAAATCAATGGAAAATTTTATTACATCAAAAAAAGAAATGCAGTTGCCATTTTTGCAGGTTTAATTTAAATATTAAAATCAAAATATTTTTCAAATTCATGCAATTGAAACGATATGACGGAAAATATAGATTGAAAGACCTGGGTTGTCGTTAACATTTACTCAAATTTTATCTTTTCATTTTTATAGCATTTCGACCGGTTAGAAGTCGGTTTCTGTAAAAGTGTAAAAAAAAAGTTTTGAAGAGTCTGTTTCGTGAAGTCCGAAAATAAAGTTTATTGTGAACGGGCGTGGGTTGCAGCTGACTGCATTTTGTAAAAACAAAACCATTTCTACAGCGATCACTTTTCATCCGAAGCGAATACAGATCATTCAGTCATCTCTTAACTCAAACTTTACGGGTATTTTTCATGGGATAATGTACCCGTGAAATGCTGAGGTGACATTATTGTCTCTGTTTTTTGAAAGTTTAAGCGGGATGCCAATATGAATTTTGTTTCCTCTAACATTGGACATCCAATCTGCAACGGGATTCGTTTAGAACTTTCCTCCTAGAATCCTGCTTAGCTACTACTTCAGTTCCTCATATATTTAAGTATAATTAAAAGTGGCTATGAATGAAACACTTGTACAAAGAGCGTGTTTAAATGTGCCGGTAGCTACATATTTATTATTCTCTCGTGCGCTGCGTCAATACGGCGTATGCAAATTGAAGGAGCCCCGAGCACTCTGAATGGGTGCATCGCTGCAGGCTACGGCCACTCACGTATGAGTATTGTCTGCACTCACATTACAAAGTATTGAGACAGATGTAAATGTCATGCTAATATAATTAATTCATTGAGGCTTATTTGTTCATTATTTTCACGAGAAAAGAAAAGAGAAGATTAGAAAACGAAGTATCTCTTTTAAATACTCTGTGTATTACAACGTATGTAATTATATTCTTATCTTACTTCTTACTAATCTCACTAATATTATAAATGCGAAATTTGGCATAGACGTAAAGGATATTCTGAAAGAACACATAGGCTACTTTATTTTACTTTTTTTTTAATTCCAAGCGACGGCGTCGCAGGCAAAAGCTATATTTACATAGTATTAAAATAGCTTAAACAGCGAACAGAAGCGATTTATTTAAAAAGTCTATATGTAATATTAAAATACATAAAAAATACTGCAAGATGGTAAAGTTGACGACCAGCAATTTATGTTCCATTAAATTCATTTTAATCGCCAGCAGCGCAGGTATGCAATTACACTTGTGCAGTCTGCGCCAGGCTTTTTGGCAGAATTATAATTTGACTCGCAGTGATATAGACGTGAGATAGCTTTGTGAAATGCTTTCGCCTCACTACTTTTACATTTAATTTGTGCAGACTAATTTTAATGTACAATAAATTTTAATATACTGTTACAATGGAAATTTTACGAACTATAAAAAATTATTAAAACATAATATTATATCATCTTTTGACAGTTACAATTTAAAAAAAAAATATTAAAACCTCGTTTCACATTGTGGTAGGTCTACGAACTTTGCGTCAAACTGCCTTTAAATAAAGCTAGCTAATAAGTTTAGATATATTTTGAAATATTCCAAAGTGAAGAGGCGAGTATTGTTAAGTTGTTGACATGACACTCGGCTATGTTTGCGGTGCGCAAGAGTCGTCACTTGGTCGACGCACGCAACAAGCACACTCTGTGCAAACACACCTACAAACTGCATGACCGACACTTTCTTAAACGACACAAAATATTAAATTTAATTAAAATTTATTAACTGTTAGTTTTTAAACAGGCGGAGAAAGTTTTAAGATAAGTCTTAAATAAATAGATTGAAATTTAATATTGGAAACCTTAGACATAAAACAATATTGGACTAAGTACAAAATGAAATATGTAGTGTTGTTTAAAAATAGAGAAACGACTCAACATCTGCAAACAGTCCTGTGCAAAGAGTCGAAATAATGTTGCGTACGCGACTTCACAAACCACAGTACAATACGTCACAACTATCATCACACTAGCTTCCGCTCGCGACGCTGTCCGCGTGGTATTAATAAAAATAAAAGATAGTAGCCTATGTATTCTTCCAGACTATCCTCTACGTCTATGCCAAATTTTATCCAGATCCGTTCAGCCTACTAACTCTAACAAACATCCATCCAAACTTTCACATTTATAACATTAGTAGTTTTCAACTATTAGGCGCAGTTTACACTTTCCCAGTACAGTTGACAGATTGGCAATAAACTGGCATAGTGTGAACACTAACTGGAGCCAGTGATTCCATACAATCTATGGCCTTAGATTTATAAAGGGGTATTATATGATTTAGCACATTCAAACTAAATTTATCTTATCTTGTTTTGCCAAGCGATGTAACACAAACAGTGAAATTAGTTTGCGAAATCTATTTATAAGCGACTGGGTCAATGCAGTTGCGGTTAGCATTAAGATCATATTGTGCGGTTTCTTGAGGTTTAATGTTCATTAGCTTCATAAATAAATAGTATTGTTACGTTGACTTGATTGAAATTTCATTCGGGACAGCTGTGCGGTAAGCCGACACTGCGCGCCGGCCTCAAATTAATGTTGCGGTATAACTATACACAATATCTACAGTTACTCTAGTTTTATATTGTTAGTTTGTTAGCATACTATTTGATATCAAATCGAAACAAATATTTGGTCTGAAATAAATTGGTAATTGAACAAAAATCATTTGTGATTTAAAAATTAAATAAGTCTGGTGACATGCAAAAAATTACTGTTATAATTACGCAATATTTTAAATAGAGCCTTTTATTGTTAACTACTTTAGATTTATATTACTGTATGTCCCAAATAACTATCACTAAGACGGAAGAACCCTACAAGACGGGCCTAGAGCCTAGTGTAGGAACCAAGCGCTCGACTTCATTTTGTTAAAACAAATTTTTGTAACTTTGTAATAGCTATTATAATTACAATAATATAGCAAAGAAAATAACATACAAATTAGAATATTCAGATTTGACATCTCATAATCCAAATGTGAATAACAAAACCTTCCAACTGGTTATACGCATGACATTCGTATTTGGTTATAAACACCAGTTTAAGTACAGCAGTTGATTGAAGATTAGCTTCATAGGACTGTTCCAAGCTTAAAGTGGCCCTCAGTATGAGATAACATCTCTAGCAGTTATAGATATGCACAGATTCTGAACATAAGAGAACAGTATATGAGTGGTAGCCAAGCAGAGTTTGAAAGTCTTTTAACTCGACTATATTATTACGGTCATTACATTTTCATTCATATTAGAAGACAGATTTTATATACTGTAGCTGACTATTCTTGATTATTTAGATGATGTGCAAAAGTAAATAAGAGTTTTTTTTAACAAAAATATTATTACTTAGCAATATTATCACAGACCATTTAACAACTGATTGGGACACTAAGATAGCCGTTCTCAGGAATCTTTAAACCGTTAACTTTCCATTTTCATTCCGATAAATTTCAGTCTGAAAGGTTTTTATTAACACCATATTGTGTTTTCTTCACAAGAAGTAGTTGATGCGTGAACAATTAAAGCGGAGTGGCGGCACGGTTCTATGGGCCGACACCAATTACCGAGTGACGGACATCGGGTGGCGCCACGCTACACATTGTATTCTAGTCCGTTAAACTGACAAACACGCAAAAAAAAATTAAGTACTTTTCGTGCCTAGCACATGCTGCGCTTACTTTAACCTTTCGAATAAAGGTTGCGAGAAAAATTTTATCGCAAACATTCCTAAAAATGGCAAACAATAATGGCACTTGATTATTATCACAAAGTTACAAATACAATTCAGCTGCCGGTTACTTTAAGAACTTATAGACATGTTTCCATTTGAATTAATGAAAACAAGACCTAATTTGCAATGTACAAAGAGTGCATTATTAACTGCATATTTTATTAGTCTGCACACACAAATCTGTAATTAACACTGGGCAGTGTGGTCATGCCCTAAAGTTCGTCTGGACACGATTTAATGGCGCATCGTAATTCGGCTCGCTCTAATGCGAGACGCGACGCGAAAACAAAACAAGTACACGCAAATTGTTTTAAATGGGCAGGTAGGCCCACGCCCGCCTGACCTACAGACAGACTCATCACCGAAAATGGTAAAAAATAACCTAAAATTTAGGGTAACGTACGAAATTACGACGCAATAAAATTTCGGCCCGTCCGAAAACATTCCGGATTATACGACACAAGTTCGATCGATTTATTAATTAACAATTTATACGGTCCTGTTGGTGTTTATTAAATTGCATTTTGATCAAAATATTAAAATCGAGTTTTGCAAATTATTCATAAGCGAAATTAGTGGTCCTTTCCAAAATTTGATAGCGACGTTAGCATGGACTTGATTTTCGCATTGCTTTAGACTAAATTATATCAATTATTGGGAACTATCCGTTCAAAAAAGATGATTAAATTATTTTTACGACACACAACTATCAAACACAAAAACATAAAGTCATTGCATCGCTGCAACAGTAATTACGTTGCTATCGAGTTTACAATGCAAAAAGTGTTGCAAAAAATATATCCAAAAGTGTAGAGAACCCAAAGAATACTGTAAATTAAATCACGTCATTTTGGAAATAAGCAATTTCACGGTGAGGTTAAAATAAATTCCCCGTCTGGACTAATTAGTCACGTCAAGAGGCAAATGGAGATATAATTCATTGTTTCGTTTTTCTTTGCCTTGTTGGATGATCAACAATTTTCGCTCATAAAAAAGTGTATGGTTTTATACTCACGGGCTCCTTGTCACCTTGGCTGTCCTTCCCGAGACCCTCGCCCTTCGACCAGCCCATCTTCTCTAACAGTTTGAATCCTTTGTTCTCTGATGGTATGAACCTGACGGAAACAAATATCAACATATTAATCAAATGCCAGCCTTTTAAATATGTCTTACTACTAGTTGTTGCTTGGGACTTCGCCTGCGTGAAATTAAAAATATATTACTCATGTTATTGATAACATAGCCTTTTAATGGTGAAATCGGCACAGTAGTTTTTGAATTATTTCAATACATACAAAAATATAAATCTTTCCTCTTTATAACATTAGTATAGATTTAGCATCTACAGATTATGTAAACTACTAAGGTTCCATATCTAATTAAGAAAATAAAGTTCATAGTTTTTCACTAGTGAATGATAAAACTCGGTTTGTAGATTTAAATAAAAGTTTTAATTAGTCGTGAGAATAGGTAATTGTTTCGTCTACGCCGCGCCTCCCCGCGCCTCCCCGCGCCGCCCCGCGCCGCCCCGCGCCGCGCCGCCTCGTGCCGCCGCATGCGGCGCATTGTTTCAATATTTGATTAGCGAGAACAATTTACAAAACAGATTCTTGCTTTACTAACTTTGCCTGAGCAACACTACTATTCGAATTACTTGCAAATTAAATTATGAACCTAATCCTCGGCTTTGCTCAGTTAAATAGACAAAAGATATTGTTAAAGACATCTCTCTATTATTAGCAAACATTTTAAAAATAGTCGTTTTAAAATAAAATCAAAATAAAGAAACGCACTCTTTTGCGTTGAAGATAATGTGTCATTTGAATCTATGCCTAGAGTTAAATTATAGTAGACTTCAGATATTATATCAGCTCTGAACTTCGCGTGAGTCGCTGCGTACAACACAATTTTAAGCATATTACCTCACTTGACCGCGAAGGAGACAGCCGAAAATCAGCGCAGGAACGGCTTAGTCCGTCCTGAATAAACTAAGCTAGGTTTTGCCACAATTGTTGTACTTTTTTGTATTTAAAATAAGTTCGGGTAATACATTAATTCTGTTTATTTTTTGTGGCAATAAATATATATTTTATTCTAAGTATTGCGGGATAAGGGGCAGAGGGCACCGAGCAGCGCGCATGACCTTGAGCCGGTATGATATTTGAAAAGAACTATAGAATCAATGGTCGTAATATGTATATGAGATATATCGTGGGTGTGAATTACGGAGCAAAAGGTTAGCATGGTATGGGCGGAGGAGGGATAATGAATGAATATGAAGGTTGTTAGTTGAGTGCGGCGGTACACCGGTAGAGGTAGACCTAGAAAGAGATGGATGGATTGAAAGGTGTCATGACCAAGGGAGTTATGACTGAGATGACAGATGATAGTTATTTGGAGGAAGAAAACCCGGTGCGACGGGTGTTGGATAAGGATGGATGATGATGTGGGTGTATACTTACGTGTTAATATCACTGGATTGAGTCTTCTCGGCGGAGTGCGAGGAGCCGACGGCGGTGCGGCGCGCCTGCGCGCGGTCGTTGTACGCCTCGCTCTCGATGGCGAGCGGCGGCTTAGCGTACTTGTTCTTGAGACGCGCCAGCTCCAACTGATGCTGCTTTTGAACGCTGCAGGTGCGCGTGTACGCCACTTTACGTTCTTTGTCTTCAGCTATAAGGTTTATTTTCGATTATTTTCTTTTTGCAAAAACTGCTATAGAACTTATTACATATTTAGTTATTTGTATCTCAATTGCCTGTGGGGGGAGGGCTTGGTGATCCATCACACAAGGTATCATCTTAGTTTGGACACCAGTCCCCCGACCATACAGGAAAATAATAAAGTTACTTTTATTATTTTTCCCTCACAATTTACACAAATATTGTTTTACTAAATACAAATACAAAAATGTTTTAGATATAGCCAAATAAAGAAAAAATCACTACCAATCTCCTAGTTGAAGAAGCACTTAAAGGACATAACTCTTAATGAAATATACAAAAAAGATGTTACCAACACACTAAAATCAAAATCTCTTTTTTTTAAGTAGTTCGCCACTGGACACTATCGAATTAAGGGTTAAGAAAATAAAAATAGTATACTAACAATCTATAAGAAGTCCCGGTTCACAATGGCCGCATGTCTCGTTCCCGGAGTGTATGTGGCATAACAACTTCGTATCTCCCAATTGCAATGTGCTACCATGAAGTACCTGAATATAAAAACCATATAAAAATCTAATAGTCTTAATATTTTTACTTAGATTCTTATAATAACCTCATTAAATTTAAAATTAAGACACGATAAAAAAATAGTTTCGAATATTTTTATTTTACTTACCTCCATTGGCGTGCTAATATCTTGACTTTCTGACATTCGATTCCCGTTCAATATTGTTCCGTTTTTGGAGCCCAAGTCCGTAGCCATGTAAACCTTATTTTCTAAATTGTATCTAATGTCCAAATGGTTCTGATGGCAGAAACAGTCAAAGATTTAAAAACATAGATTTACAATACATAATCTATACTCATATTATAAAGAGGAAACACTTGTATATTTCTATGTGATAAAATAACTCAAAAACTATTGGCCCGATTTTATAAATGCTTTCGCCATTAAAAAAAACTATATTATCAGTGAGTAACACAGATTTTTTTTTAAATTTCACGCGGGCGAAGTCGCAAGAAACAGGTAGTTTCAATATAATACTTTAGGTAATTAATTACTTTACTTTAGAATATTAATTCACCTCTTTTTAACGAAACTTTGTAAAACAATAAAAACTTAAAAATCTGACGCCGATTTACATCGAGTTATAAAAAATAAACAAGCTATTCTTTTAAAAGGCAACCTTTTCTGTAATTAATAGTCTATCGTAAATACCTACTTTTTTTTAAAAAAAATAAATAAAACTCATGTATTAAGTCACCCCTAAGTGGGAATTAAATTAATGTGCATTACATTAATTTCTTGTTTAAAACTTTTTAACTAACTTGTGTAATAATTTATCCATTCTAAATATTAAAGACATTTTTTTTCTTCAATGTTGAAGATCAAAAAGCACTAAAACATTATAATAATTATTAACCAGTTTCAGTATAACCTACAATAACGGTGCTAAGATATGGCGCAGTTAGGCGACAGCCCAGGGCGCTGTATAGTAAGGGGCGTTAGAAATCTCGCCCAGGGCGCTCGATGCGTTAATGCGCTGTTCACATTTGCCCAGTACAGTTGGTCAATAATGTGAGTCCATACAACCGATGACTAGCATTCTAGTACTAGTAATCTTAGCTCTTATGCCCATTGACTTAAGATACAAAATTCTACTTACCCTTGACACATTATTATCCTTGATGACAATAGCATGTTGATCACCTTCCCTGCCAATGGAGCCGCCATCTTTTGTTATAACAAACAAACTGCCAACTTTCAGTTTGTTTACATTAGTTTCACGCACTACCAACCGCATGCAGGGTGGATGATGCTTTGCTATTGAGTCTGCAGACAAAATACATTAAATTGTGTAATTCCGAGTAACATAGGAAGAAAATCTTATATCAAATGTTCTTTACTCAAAATCTACTTTGCTATATAAATAACATTTTTCATTCTATCTCTTTTCAGTTATGAAATCATTATGTACAAATGTGGAATCAATCAAATCTCATTTAATACAAATATAAGATTGTGATACTTTCAAAGAATCAATCATTGTCTTGTACTATTATACCATTAAAGTCTCATCGCTTTAAAAAGCCATCACAATTTACCATCATCATCAGTAGCAGTTGATGTACTAATGATTGATTCTACATCATCAACTTCACTAAGCTCTTCACAATCCGTTTCACTGCATTCCCCATCTTCTAATTCATCCTTCACTTCTTTCTGTGAATCTTCACCATCATCGAGCATGTTTTCCTTCTCTATGTCTTCTATATTCATTACAGGTTTTTCAACATCTTTATTAACCTCTTTCTTTTTCGTTTTCATAATCTTCTTTCTTTTCGGCTTGCTGACTTCATCATCTTCTTTATCCTGGAATATAACATTTCATATGTTGGTATCAAGAGGTTACTTCAGATCAAACTATTTACCTAAGGCAGCTGGGCCTTGGAGTGAAACCTGAGATAATTTTTTCGTCAGGTTATCAATATTAGATCTTTCCTGAAATAAAGTAAAACACGTTAATAATCATTGTTACCTATCAAAGTAATTCATCAATTACTTTATGTTCTGAGTGAAAATACTTCACCTTTTTATGCTTTTTAGCTTTCTTTAAGACATGCTTAAATAAAGGAGCATTTTCAATTTCAGCACTTCTATCCGGATAAGAATGGAATACGAAATTTTTCTTTTCATCCGAATAAGAGTAGTAACATCCAGTGTCTGTGTGGTAATACAGACCAAGCTCCTGTAAAAAATTTGCTAGTCAAAATTTCATTAAGAGCGGGCACACACCATTGACTAAACTATTGGACAACTGGTGTGCAATTGTCAATTGTTTCCCAGCCAATTCAACTGTTTAGTTACACAACTAATTGTCGAGTAGTGTGAGCAACTCCATATAAACTTATAGGAATCAAAGTGTGACTAAATAATTGTATGATAATTAAGTCAAAAGTGTATGTACACTATAACCGTTGAACATTCTATTAATTTTCATACAACTCACACTATTATAATAATACCCTGTCTTGTAATCGTAGTACATTCCCGCTGACTCTACAAATACCATTCCATTTTCATTTAATGCAGATTGTGCAGCTTCTTTCACTTGATCCGCTATACTTTTTCCTTTATCTTCTTCATCTTGTAATTTCCATTCAGACAACTTTGATTCTAAATTTTCCTCGGAGTTTGTTTCTTCCTTTGTTTCCTTAATTTGAAGTTTACTAGTCTGTGTACTAACATCGGACAGTATTTTATCATTGTCTATTATAGATGTTGGATCTAGAAATAAAGTTACAAAAATAGTATTGTTGAAGTGACTCATCTGTGAGACACAGTTAAACTTTATTGTACTTCTTTAAGAATAAAAAAATACAATATAATAAACATTTACCTGACTCCCCATTACTGAACTCAAGGATTATATCGTCAGTTTGCACAAGAGACGATGTCACTTTGTTATTCATCTGGAATTTCAAAGAAGGCTTTGTAAATACCAGTCTCATAATAATTTGAACATTAAATCATAGTATAGGATTTTTATTACTGAAAAACTATCTACATCGGTTGTCGTTGTATCTCTTATTGTATGTGGTTAACATGAGCACACACTATATAACAAATGTTTTGTTTTAAATGTTAAGGATGGGACGGAAAACTCAAATTAAACTAGATAAACGAAGTATTAAGTTAAATACGTACCAATAGCTTAAGTTGCTTCTTTAATCGAGTGATAATAAAATTCTTTTTTCTTAAACATAGTCGCATTTTTAAAATTAGCTTGAAAATTTCAGGCCTATATTTCAAACTCAGTCGTAGATTTCTAAGTTTAAGTAAACTTTTACTCTTCCCACGTATGTTAACATCCATATTTTACTATTTTTAATTAATAACGTAAATAGACTTAAAATTAAAAACTATTTCTCATTTCTTGTTTTTATAAGATGACAGATGTCATTTTCAAATGTCTTTTTAAAATTTTATGGCTTAGTTACAAAACTTTTAAGCCAAGTAAAATGTTAAGGGTGAGTTGCACCATATCGCCGGTTACCGTTAAAGTTAAAATTATTTGTAACGGTAATATTTGGAATAACCTTAAAATTTACTAAGGGTGAGTTACATTAACTAACTATAAACCTTAACCAGCACATTCCCGATGGTTACGTCTACGGATGTTCATGATATTCGCTACACCAGTTTTGCGCTGGTCAAAATGACGTCATATTTGACACTAATCATAACCGCCCGATTTTGGGCGGTTATAGTTAGCGTTACGGTTAATGTCAGTTCGGTAGTGTCAACTGTCACAAGCTCTTATCTTCAAAAGCACAAATAATGGAAAAAGTAATGGAAAAAGAAAATCTCTACTATTATCCTATACGTAATCCAGAAGAATAAAGTCTTGCGTGCTCGGAAATAATGGATTTCCAAGATGGAACTCGAAATTTGGCCAAACATTCAGTTTGGACAAATTTCGAGTGTCTAAGGCCATAGCAACAGCGCTTGTCCCTTTTCTCTTATTTAAAAAAATGTCCTCAATAAAAGGTCAATTTATAATATGCATTGACAGGACAATTTATAATATGGAAAATAAATAAGATGCATTTATATTTGTATAATTTTATTGCTTCATTTTTGCTACATATTTGAGTAGTAAAGTAAATACAGTTTCAATAATGGACCAAACTAGTTTATTTTCACAAGAGTTTGCCATTTTCTCCATCTTCGTGGGCAAAAAGTTTATTTCACTATAAAATACCATGCGTATGATACATAAATATAATCGGCGAAACATGAATTTCCAAACATTTTAATTTACGTAAATGTCATTCTTGACACCAACTTGACACTTTAGTGACATTCAGGTTTAAATGTTTCCATTGTAAAAACGAAAAACACATAAAACCTCTGTGAGAATATGTTTTTGCACTTGTAACCCTATTATAACTTTTACGATAACCAGCGATTTGATGCAACTCACCCTAAGCAATATTTTGTTGAAGTTTGGAATCGAATGAATTGATCTAACGTCTTGCTTTTTTTTATTTTATTTACTGGAAATGAAAATAAAATTGAAATTACCAAAATACAATAGCATGGAACGCTCAGTAGCATCGCGTGCGCTAACTAACAATACGTTAAAGTTTATCAATTCAAATAATACTAAAACATTTTCAGTGTATTTATTTATTCATAAGTCTTTTCACATTTCCATACCTTTACCATTTAAAAGTTACATTAATACTTACATCGGCGCACATCCAGATATGTGAACATTTCAAACTTTTTCTTAACTTTATAATTTCACTTAACAATGTAAGTCAGATTATAAATTAAACAGATGATTTAAGTTGTTAATATTATAAACGATCTTTTTACATTTTTTCTCCACATTAACTTTGTAAAATTTCACATTCATACATTCTCACAATTTTCTTAAAAAGGGATCCGAAATTTTTATTCTATGCACAATTATTTTGGAATTACCAGAATATTTACAATTACTTTATAACTGTTGAGTAAAAAAGGAATGACTACATACATTACCGGATTTTTTCTGGTAATTGAAAAATATCCCTTAATAAATATCATTGTAACTTAAATTTACAGAGCTTATTTTCCTTAGTATTCTCTTGATCTAGCTAGAATATAGCGACCAGGCATATAACCTGCATGATGTAAAAATAATTCATTAAATATTAACTTTGCTCAGTAATATGAGTATGAAGGCTCAACTTTTCTTGTCATTTTTTTCTAGCAGCTTCTATACAATTCAACAAATTTCTCATATTCATTTTACATTCACAAAGTATAAAAATAGAAATAGTAGATTCTAGCTTACCAAAAAAAAACTTAATTTGAAATGAATGTTAACTTGTTTGAACTTAAGTTATCGATTATATATTAAGTTACAATTCTCACAGAAAAGTATTAATTCTGCGATTTTAAAAAGTTATCAATAATCGGATTCAATTTTAATAGTGAGTTTTAAAGATTAATATATACCTGTTGGTTATCTACACCTATCATTTACAGAAGATACAAAAAAAGTTTTCCTTTTTCACTTTCATTGACAGAAATAGCTTCACAGGATCATTAAAAAAAACAATAGAGTACAAGTATTTACTTGTATAATATCTCATGGCAAAGGTAGGCATTTATGCCCTCTTACTATTTGTTCTAAAATGTAATTTAAATAAAACTTATGAATTTGCAATGTCTTAAACATTATTTTATAACTTCTATACAAATAAATGCTAAATATTTTTATTAAAGTCATAAACTTGTTATATGAAAGTTGTTAAGATCTGCAGTGTACATCAGTAGGGACATCAATAAAACTCAAAACATACATACCCCATCAATTAATGAAAATTAAGTCAGTGTACCTTTTTATGAAAAAATAATTCTCAAAACCCGTAATATGAGATACAAATCATTCTCACTCATTTTCAAGATAAGACTTGTAAAACTAATTTTCTATCTAATAGTACGCTTTTCTACAATTTTTACTAATTGTGCAAAATTTGTTACCTGAACTTAAATAATAGGTTTGTATACGATTTGCGCGTTCACGACACAAACTGATCGTGCCTCTCTATCGCTTGTTCGCGCTCTCTTGCTCGCACACTCATCTCAGGAAAATGACAATAAGTCATGACAAACACCAAAAATTATCATAATTTTTATAGAATATATAAAGAAAGATATCCACTGATTCATATTATCAGAAAGTCCTTATTACACTAATTTAAGTTTCTCGATAAAAGACCATCATTTAAAATTTTGTAAGAATAATTTTTGACACTTTAGAACACCACAGTATTTATGATCAACACTTTATTCACTGAATATCTTGCTGCATTGTGGTGCGTGTGAACAATTCCATAGTCAACGCACTGAGGAACAGCGGGATGGACCTGTGATGATGCAGATGTAGTTCCACCAGCTCATTCAGTGAAGTAGAGTATTCTGTATGCACCATTTCAATACCATCATCACATAATGTGAATGTTAGATATTCCTCTGCTGACTCCGCATACATGTTTGATATTCTGAAATGTTAACATTAAATAGTTCTGAGCGATGACATCACATGTCTGTATTTGATTGCAACTACCTCCACATGAAAAAATCCAAAACAAAGCTTATGTTACTCAGTAATAATGAAGTTTTTTAATTGTGAGAGAATTATTAAAATCGGCCAGTTTTTAGGTTATTTCTTTCTTTCTTTCTTTTAGGTTATTTTCCTCATTATAATATTAGTATATAGATGAAAAATTACCTATAATTCTTATGTCCTGTCCTATCTATTTTATAACCGAGTAGCATATAAACCACATCCCTATATTCCTGGGCCGACGATGTGAACTCCTCCTTCATTCTAAAACAAAAAATACAATGCAACGCTGGCTTAAAATTTACTATCAAGACGTAACATCAAAAGCAAAAAAAAAAAACGTAAAGCAAATGTAGCAATAAAAAGGACCTCTTCAGTTTTATCCGACTGTTTTCTAACTGTTGTTTTAATTGTTGCATTTCTTCGGGACACACGTCAGAACCGCCTTCTCGGAGCGCTGCTTTTAACCTTTTAATCTGGGGACACATGACTTTAGGAAACTACTCTAACTAAAAAAAAATCGCAAAATAAATATAAACTTTAAAAATGTATGAATATCAATCATCTTTTATACCTCTTCTTGTGCGGATTCCATATCGAGTTGCATCTGTTTATGCGCCGCGGCTGCGGGGTTCTCCACAAGATGGAGTATCTGAAACATTCAACAACTACTGACAAACTGTACATATATTTAATATAAAGATGAACACAATAACATCATTTTTTTAATTCATAAGTTATAACTATGAATCTATCGATTCCAACTTCTATAAGAAAATAAAATTACAAAATAATTCATGCCTGATTTAACATAACCCATCCATACTAAATTTTCAAATCTTATTTAGACAAACTATAATTATTTTTTGGCAACACTCTAATTTTTTTTACCCTAGCAACATTGATACCTTAGTAGGAGGTTGCGGCGCCTGCACGAGGCGGTCGAGGTGCGCCTGCAGCTGGTCGCGCTGCGCCCGCAGCTTGCCCGCCTCCCGCCGCGACGACTCCGCCTCCTCGCGCCACTTGCTCGCCTCCAGCCGCAAGCTCTCCACAACTTTTAATATAACTAATTATTTAATATATGGACGAAAAAAAACGTACTTTAAGAAAAAAAAAAGGTGACAAGCGGCCACCAGAATTAATCAACATAGTGAAGCGACCACTGCCCACACACGAAGATGCGTATGCCTACTGTTAATCAACAGAGGAGGTGCAGAAAGAGAATTTCTCTACCTAAGGGTCTACTCTATACTAAATCATAGGCATACAAGTCTCGTCCTTATGGTATCGTATAAGCGCGCTAATTCTGGCGAGGATTGACAGACTGGGTAATTAGGTTGTTACAATATATTTTTTTGTCGAAAAGGGGTGAAAAGGGAAAGGAGCAAACTCATATGGCTGTACCAGGGATAACTTCTGAGTATGATATGTTACCTTTAGCGTGTGCCTCCTGGTCGTGCGTGGCGAGTAGGTCACGGTAGCCCTGCAGCGCCTTCTCCAGCTGCTCCACGCGCGCCGAGAGCAGCGCCGCGCCGCCCCCGCCCCCGCCCCCGCCCTCCCCGCACAGCGACACCGTCAGTTCCTTCTCGTAGCAGTCCAGCTGCTGTCTACACATTACACTGCTATTTACAACTGGGAATATTACATCTTAAAGGGACTGTCCAACCAAATTGTAAATTGTCTGATAATAACGTGTAAAATATGTGATGGGTATATCAGATTTTGTTACCTTATCTGTTAGTGATGTCATTTTTTTACCTGAGCCTCTATCAGCCAGTGGTGGGACAGGCCCTAAATCTTGTCTGCGTTGAACTATTCTTATCAGTGACCCTTTGGACAACTTTGTGTCTCGAAATACTCCAGTTAGTTACGTAATTAGAATAGAATTTGATAAGTTATTAAAAGTAAAATTTTTATATTAACAGGTATAATTGCAAGTTTATCTGTACTAATATTATAAAGAAGAAAGATTTCTTTTTGTACTATTTCATTCACGTTAAAACTATTGGGCCGATTTTAAAAATTCTTTTACCATTAGAAAGTAAGTTATGTTAATTTTTTATTATCTTTTAATTTCACGCGGACGAAATCGAGAGCAATAGCTAGTTTGTTAAATAGTCTATATGACATTTAAAGGTAATATACATCAATACATTACTATAGTAATTTATGAGCTATACTAAATTTTAAGAATTAAGATACATATTGCACTACAAACATCAAGTATTCAGTAATAGATAGAACAAGATACCTATAACTATCTCTTTCCCTCGTAACGAGAAGCAATCGCTTCTGCAGCCGGTGTATGAGACTCTCCTGGCTCTTGCGCACTGACATTATGTCGTTGAGCTTCGTCGTCGCCTTGTCGCGTTCAAACTTCAATGTTGCCACTTCCTGCATTCAAATATTAAAAAGATACACCATTAAATTTCTGAGTGTTCTACTATGCAAGTTAATTTTTAATTTTTTGCAGCATTAGAAACTAATTAATAATTGTAATCAATGATTGTTTAGTTAAAACATACATCAACATTTAATTGTTTTTGAGTTTGTATCTCAGGATTTAATCTTACTAATATTATAAATGCGAAAGTTTAGATGGATGGATGGATGGATGGATAGATGTTTGTTAGCGTTTGTAGCCTAAACGGCTGTACGGATCTCCATGAAATTTGGCACAGGTTTAGAGCATAGTCTGGAAGAACACATAGGCTACTTTTTATCCCGAGATAAGTTACGGTTCCCGTGGGATTCATTTAGTTTTTTAATGTTTACTCGATCATTCTGCAACGGTTCAACATATCTCATTTAAATTTGGCACAGATGTAAAACAAAGTCTGGAGTATACATGGGATAAGCTTCATCCCCGAGAAATGTCCGGTTCCCGAGGGATACGTAGTTTTTTGTTATTTATATAGTTCGTATGTTTTCTAATACCACGCGGACGAAGTTGCGGGCAACAGCTCGTTAACTTATAAAGGTGCATTCCTCTGGAGATCCCGACCCTACAATCAATCTAGGATGACCACTTAGGAGCTTTTAATGAGTTAAGTCTTAACCTGACATACTAGAAGGCAGGGTATCTCAGGAATTTCCCCTCCCCCGTTAACAAAAAAGTATTTTAATATTAGATTACCTCAGTGAGCTGTGCCATTTGTGTTTTAGCTTCAGAGCAGTTAACGACTGCGGAGAGTTGTCCTGCGAAGGCGGACTCCAGCGCGGCACTGAGCGCGCGCGCCGTCTCCACGCCGTGCGCCTTCGCAGAACTCACCCACTCCTCTAACGATGACTCCAGTAGTGCCACTTTCACCTAACATTACAAATATAACCTCAATCTTTCTTTGCCACTAGTTCTGCACACTTGAAGATTTGATACTGAATGGGTTATTAATCTGGCCTCTATGTAGACTATCGTAAGCCAATATTGCAATTTAAAATGTCCAAGTGCAGAGGACAGCCTGGAAGAACACACAGGCTACTCGCTTTTGTTGTTTTTTATAACACGCCGACGGAGTCGCGGGCGAAAGCTAGTTAATAGTATAATGTAAATTATTGGCTTATAATAATTTATGAAGGAGCCGAAATATTTAGCAATTTACCAGAAAATAGGTTGTGTAGCCTTTTAGAGAGTTTATTTTTTAATGGACCATTAAAAAAAATGTGAAGAAATCAGGAAATAGTTACATTAGAGTTGGTATTTATTTAAATGGAATACTTTATATAAAATACTATTATCTAAGTTGTTGTTTATAGTGTTTGTATAATTTCTCACCTTAGCCTCATGCAACTCTTGCTGTACCGGCTGCAAAGCTTCCACTTTAGCGGAGAGCACATTCACTTGTTCCTCCAGCAGTAACTTATTGCACACCGCATCCCGGAGTGTGCGTTCCGCAGCTCTTAGTCTGACTACTTCTTTTTCTAAATCAGCCATTGTACTAAGACGTTTTTGAGCAGTCTAAAAAAATTAACATAATTGACTTAAACAGTTCAGTTATGGTTTCATAGTATTGCAGATACATATTAATGACAGTACTGCAAAATAATATTATTGTATAAATTCAAGTATGGATGGATTGTGTGAAAGAAGATATGCTTAAGAAAGGAGTGGATTCAGATATGACGGCTGATAGAGATGTATGGAAGAGCAGCTCATACTGTGTCGACCCTCCATAAGGGATAAGGGCAAGTTGATGATGTATAACTTCAAGTAATAATTATGTTACATTTGATACTAAGAAAAGAAGAGTATAAATAAGGGTTTAACAATAACAAACCAATTAGAGGGATGTTAAGTTTGAAAAATATTTAATAAAGGAAATTAGTGCAATTAAAATTTAACTAAGTTTTCTTACCTTAGCATGTTGTTGCCAGTCTTTGTAACAATCTCTCTCATACTCTAAATCCTTCAGTTTACTATTAACTTGTTGCAACTCAAATGTCTGTTTATCCAGTTGTGTCTTCAAGGCAATACATTGTTCCGCCCGACCCGTCTGCCGCGCTACTTCCTTCTTCAACAACTCTACTTCAGATTGTGCACCTTCCAAAGCCTATCTGACAAAAATATTAGAATTAATACAACATTAAAAAATTTAAACTAATAAGTTATCTTATTACTCATATTACAATATAATTAAGATGGCTGGATAGATGTTTGTTTGTGAGAAGGTATCTACAAAATGGCTAAATGTATTGCATTAAAATTCGAACAGATGTAGAACATGTCTGGAAGAACATATAGGGTACCTGTAAATTTTTGTCAACATAGACAGAGTCACAGACAGAAGCTACTTGGAATTATTTATACTAAAAAACACATGTAACTTTGGGCATAACAAAATTTATATGACCTGTAACAGTTCATTCATGTCCTTCTTCATCTCGGAGACCTGGTTCCTGCTGCTTACATTAGCCTCCAACAACTTATCTTTAAGGTCCGCGATTTGCTTCTGTAGTTCTAACCTCTCTTTATCCCATTTTGTTTTATTCTCCATATGTTCTTTTACAGCCTAAAAATGTTTTAATATGATTATGTACACATAAAAATGATAAAGTAATTAGGAATGACAATTTTAAAGAATATAGATTAGAAGAAAAAAAAAGGGTTATATCTAGAATATATACTAACTGTGGTATGATCATCTCTCAACTCTTGCTCTCTTCTACGTATCACTTGCAATCTCTCCTCCATATCTGCTAAAGCTTTCTCATCTCTTTTATGTTGATCCATCAGTGACGCTTTTTCTTCTTCAAACAGTATTTGCATTTCCTTACGTATTGAATGTTGATGATTGACTCGAGCTTCCAGTTTTGTAATCTTGAAATTTTATATCGTTGTAGTTTATAAGCTTACAGTAAATACAATTTATTAAAAATGTATCTTCTCTAGATACAAATTAAAATCGTAAATCTTAGAATTACAGTAGATATATAGTAAACAATTAGAAAACATTATTTGATATAAACCTGAGCTTTAGCAGCAATGAGATCTATTTTCATTTTCTTTGCCTCCCATGGTGAAGGTGGTACCGGCGAATTGGTAGATGACTCTCTGCGAGGACGTTTCTCTGGTGTTAACAAATCAGATGTGTCCAGACTTGATTTACGTTTAGTAGACAATAGGTTAGATATACCTGAAAATAATCAAAACGTTATTAAACGAACAATATAATGAAAGCTAATGGCATTCATAAATAGGTAATAATTATTTACTTTCTTTAATAGAAGCATCACTATTAGATAAATTTAATTTTGAAGACGCCGATAACTTGTCTTTTGGCGGATCAGTGTTTATTACTCTTCTAAACGGCTCCAATACATCATGAAACAACGACATATTGCTTTCTTTGGCCATTGTTTCAAGATGTTTTGTTGATTTATCAGATTGTTAGACTACTTTATTCGTAAATTTATTCTCATCTCAGGAAATAACATTAAATAAAATTACAAAATGCTTGCAAACTTGATTGACTTTGGTTTTGGATCAATTGACGTTTGATATTGACGCCATAGAGTAGATAAGAGAAATTAATTTGTAAAACATCAAAACTTACCAAATCATATATAGCTATTGTATTATGGGGGAAAAAAGAAACTTGACAATGAAGACAATATCTTGAATAATTGAATTAATAAATTGAAAATCAATTAAATCAGTGTACAAGTGGCAATGAATTTTTAGAACTTGCTCTTTGTGAGTATATATGACAATGACATTGACAAATGGTTTACACGCGATGTTTCGTTAAATATAAGGTTATGTTTTTATTTTGCATTGCTTCAGTTATTGCTTAAATAAAACATTTCTTCTAAAAACACACAAAAATGGACAGCAATCAAGATTACTTTACAAGCTATGAAGACTTAGAGGTATTTTCCTATTTGAATTTTGAGTACTGCAAATAATTTTATTCAATAAAATAATGTATGAAATATTAAGATTCACAGACTAATGTTGGAGGATTATACACGAACAGAAACATATAGAAAGGCTATACAAGATCATAAAGAATGTTTTAAAAACAAAACAGTAATGGATGTAGGATGCGGTACAGGCATTTTATCTGTGTTTTGCGCACAAGCTGGCGCCAAAAAGGTTTATGCTGTTGAAGCAAGTAATATTGCTAACATAGCTAAGGAAGTTGTGAAAGAAAATAACTTTGAAGAAGTGATAGAGGTATGTTACCATATTTAATTTATTTGCCTACAAATATGTTATATTTTTAAATTAACCATTGCTTTTTCAACAGGTAATACAAAACGAAGTTGAAAATGTGATACTAGCAAACAATGAGAAAGTAGACATTATAGTATCAGAATGGATGGGTTTTTATCTCCTTCATGAAGGCATGTTAGATTCTGTGTTGGTAGCCAGAGACAAGTTTCTCAAAGAAGATGGGCAAATGTTTCCAGAAACTGCTGCAATTTATATTGCCCCATGTAGGTTAGTTTTTGTTTTATTTAGTTGTTATATATAATTATAAACTAGGTGCTAGTTGGTTTTTAAGCTTATAATATGTTTTAAATATAATGTCCCTAATGTATGTTATTGTAGAATCATGCTCTTATTGCAGTGTTCCAAGCCTATACCACCAATGGAATAATTTTCATGGAGTTACAATGTCTACATTTGCTAAGATATTGAGAACAGACCGAAGCAAAAAACCAGAAGTTATGCAAATAAAACCAGAAGATTTATTGGGCACAGAAATTCTTCTGGGTGTCATAAATCTAAAAGATGTGCAATTATCAGAATTAGATTTATTTGAAATACAACATGTTGTGGGTGAGTATCACATTTTGATATGCACAGTGTCTGTTATGTATTTTAATTATGTCAAATAGTTTTACTACATACATTAAACCTACCTTTGAATCCTAGTGTTCTAGAAGTTCTAGAACGCATTAGAAGAGATATAAAGATAGAGATTCATGTGTAAAAGTATCGATATCATAAAATGATATTGCTAGAAATTGTGTTTCATATTTTTAACGCAATAACTTTGTGGAAATATCTTCATGATATATATTTATTTAATCCTGTTCTGCAGGCGTCAATAAAGCAGGAAAATATCAAGGCTTATGTATATGGTTTGACTGCACATTCCCTGTGTTTTCTGAAAATTGTAAACCACTTGTTTTAAGTACAAGTCCTTACAGTCCACAAACACACTGGAAGCAAACTGTGATATTATTTCCTGAAGAACGAGAAGTTGAAGAATCAGAACCTTTGGCATTTAAATTAAGCATGACTAGAGACATTGTTCATAACAGAAGGTGAGTTATGAATATTACAATGTAATGAAATTACTCCACTCGCATAAGTTCATGACTTTGTCTGCATGGACTTAAAAACAGTGGTCTGTGTTTTCTTCCAGACTGTTATTTACATTTGAGTTAAATTTCATCAAGATCTGAAGTAACTTTGGCAATACATTGTAACAAACATCCATCCATACAAGCATATTTATATTAGTATATGTGATCTGATAAAAAATGTTAAGCTGTTTGTCTTGTATGATATGACTTTAAAAGAATTATCTAAATGTATTATATAAGTGTCTCAATAATTATATTAGTTTTTCATTGACCTTGAATTTTCAGATACAATCTTCAAGTAGTACTTTTAGATCCCGATACTGTGGATCATCCAATACCTTGTTCATGTGATATGTCAAAATGTATTTTAATCAAAATGCTGATGTTGCAACACACTGGACATGAGAAGACTGGTGATGAGAAGAGCACCACAGATGATATCCTTGAGGATGAGGTTATTGATGACAGTTGAAATAAAACTATAATAAAATATTTTGATGTTTTATTATTTTGTTATAAACTTTTGATTTTATTAGAACTCAAATAAATTTGACATTTGCAATTACAAATATAGACAATAGGAGACCTTATAATACATGGATGAAGCTGCATGGGGCCAACTAAAAAAACTATGTTCTATGCTCCGGTTTAAGAGGAGTAAGAAGGATGGCGATATACGTCAGCATCACAACATGTGTGAGGAGTAAGAGGGACGGCAGTATAAGTCAGTATCGCAGTATGTGTGTGAGGGAGTAAGAAGGATGGCGATACATCATTCAACATCGCATTTCTGTGTGGAGTAAGAGAGCTGGCGATACATCAGTCACCATCGCAGCATGCGTGAGAGAGTAAGCGGGATTGCAGTATCCGTCAGCATCGCAGCATGTGTGAGGATTAAGAGAGATGGCGATACATCTGTGAGCATCGGATTTATGTGTGGAGTAAGAGAGATAGCAATACATCTGTCAGCATCGCATTTGTGTGTGGAGTAAGAGAGATCGCGATACATCAGTCAGCATCGCAGCATGTGTGTGAGGGAGCGCGTCAGCTCGGCCTCCGCGCTCAACCAGCGGTTGTAGTCGAGGCGCATGAGCAGCCGCGCGAGGTACGCGCCGCACGCTCGCCCGCGCACGCACACCAGCAGCTGCGTCAGCTGCTTTACCAACTTGTTGAATCTACACAATTACAATTATTAGGGTTTTTATTATAGGGAACTTTCGTGAGACATTATCTATACTAATATAAAGAGGAAAGATTTGTATTTTTATATTTATTGAAATAGCTTAAAAACTACTAAGCCGATTTGAAAAATTCTTTCTCAGTTAGAAAGGTAGTTCTTTTGAAAGTGACATAGGCTATATTTTTAAACTTCATGTAGGAGAAGTCGCAATGAACAGCTAGTCCTGGATTAAGTATGAAGTTAAAATTCTTTTCTACTTAAAATCCTAGTGTTCAAATCGGTTTTCACTTTTCAGAGTGCGATGTCAAGAATACAAGTTGCCCTAATGACCATTTAACTTCAAAAGAAGATACCGTTCAATGCCGTAGAAATTTAAAGTGATTAGAGCCACACTTCCGAGACTAATTCAAAATTCAATATAACGTACACAAAAGTAACAAAACATTAAGCATAGTTTTAAAAACATACCTATCGGAATAACCTTTTATATAGTAATCCTCAGCTTCTCTGTCTGACGCAAATTCACTCATACTGCAGAAGGAGTCGCACAACTTTAATAGGTCCATGATGTTGACAAACACTGGGTTTGTGATCATCTCTATACCATCACCTGGTGAATCACCTTCTGAACGTTCCGACTGTAAAGAAACACGTAAAGTGTTCATTAAAATTTTACATGTTAGTGATAACGTAGGTAATAGGTGGAAGAATTTTTTAAATTGACCCAGTAGTTTTTGAGTTATTTCAATACATACAAAAATAGAAATCCTTCTTCTTTATATTAGTATAAAATAGCTTTTGCCCGTGATTTCGTCCGCATGGAATAAAAAAAATAGTAGTTTATGTGTTCTCCCATATTATGATCTACAATTATACCAAATTGATCCATTAAGTAATTTTGGAGATATGTGGCAACAAACATCCATCTTTAGTATGCATTTATACTTTTAACATGATAGTAATAATGTTGCCCATTTATCGATATAATACCATAAAGCATAATCAAAGATTATTTCATTAATGTTAATTTAAAAAATCTGAAATATTTAATTCTCATTTTTTCAAATTTCACTTGTATCTATTCTAAGTAATTTCTTTAAGAAGGGAAGCATAGTTTAAGTTACGTAATATAATGTTAAAAATACACTTACTGTGGTAGATGTTAAAAACGACTGACTCAATATATCAGCGAGGAACGTAGCGTGAGCTTCTTTGAGTTTTTCAAAATCATTAGTTTTGTTAACGGCATCCATGAGTCTAGAGAAATTACTCTCCAACACATCTGCTTGTAAATAATGTTGCAGATTGTCCATAAGGAACATAAGTTTATTATGTAGCTGGCACACTGCAAACCTGCAAGAAAAAATAAAAACACAAAACAGGCCAAATGCTGCCAAAAAAAGATTAAAAAAGTATAAAGGCCTGTAATTTTATACCAGGTGATCTACAATTGTCTCACACACTTTTTAATTTTCATGGTACACACTTGATCAGTACAGTTGGACATTTGGGCAGCCAGTCCTAGATTGCATGGACTCACTAACGCCTAACGTCAGTCCAGTTTTTGATTGTTGCTTACCAACTGTTCTGGCTAAGTGTGAACCGCGCTTTAAGGTTAGGGGACCCATTCCAGGCGTTAATCGGTGGACTGAATATCGTTACGCTTACATTATTATCTTAAAGTTTTTTATTTTATAATATAGGGTGGCAAACGAGCAAGCGGCTACCTGAATCCACCGAATTGGAAAGCGACCGCTGCCCATTAACATCCGCAATTGCAGATGCGTTGCCTACCCTTAATTTATGGAGGAGGAGACGTACACAAACAGGCCATTTCCCCTTTCTATGCGTCTCCACCGTCAAATTCACCTTTTCTGCCCATCCTTTCCTTTTAAGAAAAGGGTGGAAACGGAAAGGGACTGAAATTAGGCCTCTGGCAAAAAGTACATACCTTCTTGTTTGTTTGTATGTTTTCCACAAGGCGTGCAGGTCGTGTTGCGTCTTCTTAATCCTTAGCAGCAGTCGAAACATGTCGTTGTATCTTGCGAGCACCTCCGGGGCGAACAGCAGGTGCAGCGGCCACTTGAAGTCGTACTTCAGCATTATACTGGACCAGCCGTCCGCGACTAACCTCACATAAATATTTACGCAACTTTCTATATTTATAATCACGATTTAAATATTATTTTCAGTAATAAGCATTAACCTACAAGAATCGGAAGCTAAAAGATATTTTTACTTTGAAGACAATGTTAGTTGCATTTTTTTAATATATAAAAACTACTAGCTTTTGCGACTCCATATGCGTAAATTGAAAAAAAAAAACAAAAGTGGTGTCAAGCCTAGCCTATGTGTTCTTCCAGACTATCCGAATTAGTCT